GCAAATCAAGAACCCCCCGTAGGGCAGAGAGAAAGCCCGGGGCAGATCGAGTGACTCTGAAGACAGATTCATGAACCTCGCCGTGAGCTGCTGCTGCTGCTGCTGCTGCCTCCATTATACAATCTGCTGCTACTGTAGATATTATACAATCTGTGCGGTTGTCATTATACAATCTGCTGCTGTAGTCATTATACAATCTGCTGTAGTCATTATACAATATGTGCTGTCATTATACAATCTGCTGCTGTAGTCATTATACAATCTGCTGCTGTCATTATACAATCTGTAGTCATTATAGAATCTGCTGCTGCTGTCATTATACAATCTACTGTAGTCATTATACAATCTGCTGCTGCTGCTGTCATTATACAATCTGCTGTAGTCATTATACAATCTGCTTCTGTAGTCATTATACAATCTGTGTTGTCATTATACAATCTGTGTTGTCATTATACAATATGTTACTGTCATTATACAATCTGCTAATGTATTTATACAATCCAGGATATCCTGAATAAATCATTACAGATGGTCCTGCCACAATATATATACATATTTGATTAAAGATGCTATCAGCCCAATTCATGAGCTGCGTTTATTATTCACGTCGGGAGGAAACCGAAGCACCCAGAGAAACCTCACCCCTCGTGCAAGGGGGCAACGCTCGATCCCCCAACGCTCCCTGCTGCCCCCACAGTGACGGATTACAGGCTGCCACGTGCAGCAGCGTAGCCACCACCGCCACCACCCGTCTGGCTAGCCGTGTGTGACGCTGCTGCTGCTATTCGTGGCACCTGATGTAGGCAAATCCTGGCTTAACGCGTGGTGTTCCCACTATAACGCATTTTTCGCTATACCGCGTTTTTTCCATTCGGGAACACTATGTTGCACAACGCGGAACGCGTCCATTAGATATCACACAAACGCAGAGATACCACACACATACACAGATACCACAAACACACATACAACACACACATAGAGATACTACACACATAGAGACAAAGACACACATACACAGATACCACATACAACAGACCACACACACACAGATCACACACACACACATACACATACAGATACCACACACACACACAAAGACACACACACACACACAGAGACAACACACACATACTACCACACACAGATCACGCACAGACAACACACACACATACCACACACACACATACCACACACACACAGATCACGCACAGACAACACACAAACATACCACGCACACAAATAATACACACACTACTACACACACACATACCACAAACACACACACAGACCACACACACACACAGACCACACACAGACAACACCACACATACAGACCACACACACACACAGACCCACGCACAAGACGGCCTCCGCAATTTTGCAATTCCGCGAACCCGTCTTCAACTCGGGGCACGTTCATAATCCGGCCCGAGATGAGATTTAACAGCGGTTATCAAGTTATTGAGCGATGTCGAGAAGCGAGCCATCGGGGAACACGAGCGAGAGGAACAGCTCCATCGGGGTGATGAATTTCGAAGATTTTTCTACCCCCGACAACTCCTCCTCCTCCTCCGTCTGTCCGTTTCCCCGACGGAAGTTTCTTGTTAAAACCGACCTGTCACGTGCTCCTCCGTGAGTGATCTTTGCGGCTCGCGGGGGTCACGGACTCCGAGCCACCGCAGACCGCCGAGTTTTTATTCCCCATGTGGGGTTTTGTGGCTGCCCTCGGTGTGTTGATTCAACCGCGTCCTTGCAGCGCCGGCGATTCGTGTGGCAGTCTCGGCTCGGCAGCCTGTGACTCGTCTAGAGATCCACACACTTTGAGAGACCCACAGATTCGCTGGAGACCGATAAACTCGTCTAGAAATCCATAGATTCACCTTGAGATCCATACACCTTGAGAGACCCACAGATTCGCCTAGAGACCCATAAACTTGCCTAGAGATCCATACACCTTGAGAGACCCACACATTCGCCTAGAGACCCATAAACTGGCCCAGAGATCCACACACCTTGAGAGACCCACAAATTTGACTGGAGACCCATAAACTCGCCGAGAGATCCATACACTTTGAGAGACCCACAGATTCGCCTAGAGACCCATAAACTCGCCTAGAGATCCATAGATTCGCCTTGAGATCCATACACTTTGAGAGACCCACAGATTCGCTTAGAGACCCATAAACTCGCCTAGAGATCAATACACCTTGAGAGACCCACAGATTCGCCTGGAGACCATAAACTCGCCTAGAGATCCACAAACCTTGAGAGACCCACAGATTCGCCGAGAGACCCATAAATCGTCTAGAGATGCATAGCCTCGCCTAGAGATACACAGACTTTGAGAGACCCACATATTCGCCTAGAAACCCATAAACTCGCCTAGAGATCCACACACTTTGAGAGACCCACAGATTCGTCTAGAGACCCATAAACTCGCCTAGAAATCCATACACTTTGAGAGACCCACAGATTCGCCTAGAGACCCATAAACTCATCTAGAGATCCATACACATTGAGAGACCCACAGATTTGACTGGAGACCATAAACTCGTCTAGAGATCCATACACTTTGAGAGACCCACAGATTCGCCTAGAGACCCATAAACTTGCCTAGAGATCCATAAACTCGCCTAGAGATCCATACACTTTGAGATATCCACAGATTCGCCTAGAGACCCATTAACTTGCCTAGAGATCCCACACTTTGAGAGACCCACAGATTCGCTTAGAGACCCATAAACTCGCCTAGAGACCAATACACTTGAGAGACCCACAGATTCGCCTGGAGACCATAAACTCGCCTAGAGATCCACACACCTTGAGAGACCCACAGATTCGCCGAGAGACCATAAATCGTCTAGAGATGCATAGCCTCGCCTGGAGATCAATAGACTTTGAGAGACCCACATATTCGCCTGGAGATCCATGAAACTCGCCTAGAGATCCATACACCTTGAGAGACCCACAGATTCGCCTTGAGACTCATGAACTCGCCTAGAGATCCATAAACTCGCCAACAGACCCATAGATTCGCCTTGAGATCCATACACTCGTCTAGAGATGCATACACTTTGAAAGATCCATAGACGTGCCTGGAGACCCATAAACTCCCTAGAGATCCATAGATTCGCCTGGAGACCCATAAACTCGCCTGGAGATCAATAGACTTTGAGAGACCCACATATTCACCTGGAGATCCATGAACTCGCCTAGAGATCCATACACCTTGAGAGACCCACAGATTCGCCTTGAGACTCATGAACTCACCTAGAGATCCATAAACTCGCCTACAGACCCATAGATTCGCCTTGAGATCATACACTCGTCTAGAGATGCATACACTTTGAAAGATCCATAGACGTGCCTGGAGACCCATAAACTCGCCTAGAGATCCATAGATTCGCCTGGAGACCCATAAACTCGCCTGGAGATCAATAGACTTTGAGAGACCCACATATTCGCTTGGAGATCCATGAACTCGCCTAGAGATCCATACACCTTGAGAGACCCACAGATTCGCCTTGAGACTCATGAACTCGCCTAGAGATCCATAAACTCGCCTACAGACCCATAGATTCGCCTTGAGATCCATACACTCGTCTAGAGTGCATACACTTTGAAAGATCCATAGACGTGCCTGGAGACCCATAAACTCGCCTAGAGATCCATAGATTCGCCTGGAGACCCATAAACTCGCCTGGAGATCAATAGACTTTGAGAGACCCACATATTCGCCTGGAGATCCATGAACTCGCCTAGAGATCCATAAACTCGCCAACAGACCCATAGATTCGCCTTGAGATCCATACACTCGTCTAGAGATGCATACACTTTGAAAGATCCATAGACGTGCCTGGAGACCCATAAACTCGCCTAGAGATCCATAGATTCGCCTGGAGACCCATAAACTCGCCTGGAGATCAATAGACTTTGAGAGACCCACATATTCGCCTGGAGATCCATGAACTCGCCTAGAGATCCATACACCTTGAGAGACCCACAGATTCGCCTTGAGACTCATGAACTCGCCTAGAGATCCATAAACTCGCCTACAGACCCATAGATTCGCCTTGAGATCCATACACTCGTCTAGAGATGCATACACTTTGAAAGATCCATAGACGTGCCTGGAGACCCATAAACTCGCCTAGAGATCCATAGATTCGCCTGGAGACCCATAAACTCGCCTGGAGATCAATAGACTTTGAGAGACCCACATATTCGCCTGGAGATCCATGAACTCGCCTAGAGATCCATACACCTTGAGAGACCCA